ATATACATATATATATATATGTATGTTGTGGTGCTGTAGGTTAATACACTGAACTGCAACGTCAGTTTGAACTGCAAAATCGGTAGTTCAAGCTCACCAGCTGCTCTTTGGAAACCCTATATAGGGTCACTATGAGTGGGCTAGTGCATCAGACTTCAAAGTCATTTGAACTGTAAGGTAGATTGTTCAAGCTCACCAGCTGCTCCTTGGAAATCCTATACAGGGTCATTATGGGTCGGAACCGACTTGACGGCACTTGACAACAACAACAACAACACAACAGCTAAGTAAAGGTAAAGCAAAAACAAGCCAGACATAATGATGAAGACCTGACCCTTCAAATTCCAATGTCCAGCCATGTTGCTCATTGAGGAAGGCCAGTTCCTCGAGTGTGTTGTGAATTTTATTTCTATTCTTTTCTGTGAAGCAGAAAGGAGGAGAGATTGTTTCTGAAATGATGAAAGATAAGATGGGGGAGTGGGGCTGCATGGAGAATGACTGGCTTATCCTGATGTGAAAATGCTGACACAAACCTAGAATTTGCATCAGAGCACCAGGCTGGAAGTTTTCTTGCTATCCTGGAGATTGCAGCCTGAAAGTGGTCACAGACCTTTCACTTGCCCTCTTGAAAAATCCCCTTGCTCAGAAAAAAGAATATGAAGTGGGATAAGGAAAAGGATGGGAAGGGTTAGAATCAGCTTTTGTTTGGTGTGTTACCAAGGAAACAAGCAGGACAAAACCATTTCAGATGGAATCTCCAGTGAAGTGCCCAGTGTTCTGCTTAGCAGTAATAACCCATGCCTACACCATACCTCATCAGGAAGATGGAGGTTTCCTTTGGAAGCACTCAGTGAGTCTTCAATGGAAATGCTAACCAGAATTTGTCAATGACAGAGAAGTGATAGGGAATGAAGATACATGAGGGCATGGTTTGTGCTTATTTGTAAAATCTATCATTCATCATCCCCCCCCCATTAAAAAATCAGTGACTATATTGAACTTTAAGGAAGCTCTGGTAGCGTAGTGGTTACAAATCGGGCTGCGAACCTTAAGGTCAGTGGTTCGAAACTACCAGCTGCTCCGTGGGAGAAAGATGAGGCTTTCTACTCCCGTAAAGATTTACACCCTCGGAAACCCTGTACAGGGTCGCTATGGGTCGGAACCGACTCGATGGCACTTAACAACAACAACAATATTGAACTTTGGTTACGAATCGGGCTGCGAACCTTAAGGTCAGCGGTTCGAAACTACCAGCTGCTCCGCGGGAGAAAGATGAGGCTTTCTACTCCCGTAAAGATTTACACCCTCGGAAACCCTGTACAGGGTCGCTATGGGTCGGAACTGACTCGACGGCACTTAACAACAACAACAACAAATATTGAACTTACCGTTGAATGCCCCATGGCCCATGGTTTAGCACCTTACATATGGCAAGCACATAAAT